TTTTTACTAAACGAAAATTATGTTCGAGTTGTTTAGGGGTTTGTAATGTAACATTTTATTAACGTGACTAAGGGTCGATTCCACCGTTGTGTTAAACGAAGTTTAAAATGACATTTTTACATTAACACTGTCATTTTAATCTCCGTTTAACACAACGGTGGAATCGGACCTAACTCCTGTAACTTTAGTATTTTTTTTTTGCTTATACTAGATTACTTTGTTTTAAGACTTACAATTAAATGTCACTTTCGATTTGACCGCAAATAAGATGAACCTTGAAATTTTAAGTAGGTCAGCCTGTATTTCATCTAATATTCTTATAAAAATACCTTATACAAATACCTTATAAAAATAAAATTTAGCTAGCAACTATGATTCTTTACCTCTTATTTATCTACCAAAAAGGACTAAAAACTACCTTTAGAAAACATTCTTATAAAACTACTTTTTAAATACAAAATTTCGTTAGCAATAATGCCTATTTACTATTTATTTAAATTAAATGTTCAAAATTTTACCCTTTTGTAAATTTATGTAAGTAATATTATATCTGATTTCTGATGCTTAATATTTATTGAAACCCCTTAATGCGGATCTGAAGTATTCAGCCCAGAGAATCATGGCGCTTTATGTCAAAACGTTAATAAATATTTACCGCTGAAAACGAATATATTCATAACAGTAGTACTTGTATTATAAGTACATACAATTTTTCAAGATACATCGTGACATTTTGAACTTGAAATTGAATAACTAGAACACTTTTAATTTTTAAAATACCAACAAATAAATCAAAAAACAGCTGTCAATGGTGATTAAACTCAGGTGGAGGTGATCGCTGAATGGAAATCGGAGCAATTCGGGTGGCGTCGTGCAACAATGATTTTCAATTGGTGGGTTACTTTGGCTTAAAATAGACAACATGCACAGTGTGCAATGTTACATCTTCGGTCTCTTTAATCTAAGATTGCGAGAAACGACGGATCGTCTTACAGTAGCAAAGAGAATGTACAGAACAAGATTTACTGGTAATAGAGCTACGCGATATGGTCAGGACAATGAAGCCACAGCAATTCGTGCATTTGAGGACTTGACAGGTTTAACTGTTATAACTTGTGGCTTATTCATTGGAACTGAAGAAGAATATTTCCTAGCTGCTAGTCCAGATGGTTTAATTGAAGCCGACAACAATTTTACTATTGAAGTGAAATATCCCTTTGTCCTGAAAAGCTGCTCAATAGAACAAGGAGTAGCTGTAAAGAAAATTAAATTGCGTGACTATGATGAGGAGAAGTTGTTGTATTTAAAAAACACTCATCCGTATTACTAGCAAATACAAGGACAGCTACATCTTTTAGGCAAAGAATATTGTTATTTTATTGTCTGGTCTCCTTTAAGCCCTATCCATGTTAAAGAAATTTGCAGAGATGATGAGTTTTCAAAGAACAAAATGTATCCTAAAATAATTTTTTTATTAAGATGCTTATTTAACAGAAATAATTAAAGATGTTATATAACTTCTATGTGGTTTTTGAAATTCCTATTTCCTATATTATACCGTATTTAATTAAATTTATATAATATACATAACTTATGGTAGCAATATATTGAATAAAAATCTTAAACAGATAGGTTAAAATGATGTGCTATAAAAAAGAATAATGCCTAATATATTTAAAATAATTACCTAAAGATATTTTTATTTCAACGAATTTAAACAATCTGAATTTGGATACTCGAAGAATTAAAAAAGTTGAAAAAACACTCCCAGTAAAATATTTTTTAATAAAACGATAGGCAGTATTAAATCAATTTATATTAAAATCCTCAATTATTTACTGCCACTTCCCAATATTTTAAGGGAGAAATTTATATAATCTTTGACTAAAAAGAAATAAGATAAAAATGTGCGGTTTTGACCAATGAGTTTTAAATTTTAAAAAGTTTTTACCCAATCACATTAGCAAATTTTCCCATTTATACAGGGCGAGGAAAAAATTTGCCTATTTTGAACTAAAAATAACTTGACTTGTTTAAATATAACACTCTGCATATTTTTAAACCATTCGAAAGCTGAGTTCTTTAGGTTTTAAAAAATGCCAGCATGTGCATTTTAAGTTGTACAAATAATTTATAATTACATTAATTTGATTATCGCATAGCTTTTCAATTTTTTAAAGTACGTATTTTCTGCATGTTTAATTTTTTTGGTCATTTATATACTGAAATCTTTTGGTAAGTTTTACTTATTTCAGAGTACAAACGAAAAAAAAATAAAGAAAAGCAGAAAATGCGTTCTTTAAAAAATTTAATATCTACTACCAATATGGAAATTAATGAGAATGCACGCACTCACAAAAAGTCGCGTATCTTCTTTATTTGTGAAAATTAAACTGCACATGATAGAGAATTTTTTAAAAGCAAAAGAACTCAGCTTTCGAATGGTTTAAAAATATACATAATACATATTTAAATAAGTCAAGTTATTTTTAGTTGAAAATAGGCAAATTTTTTTCTTCGTTCTGTATAAATGGAAAAAAAAATGAATGTGCTTCGGAAAAAAACTTTTCAAAATTTCTAACTCAGTGATTGAAACCGCACATTTCTATCTTATTTCGTTTATTTAAAAAGTATTGAATGAAAACTATAATTACGTTCTTAAATATCTGAAGATTATAAATATAATTATAATATTTTTGTATCTTAATCTTTTCACATTAAAAAAAAATTGTAGTTAAACATTTTGTCATCCGATCTAATTCACGTTCAAATGCTTGATGATTAAGATCAAGTCTGCAAAGGTCAGCTCACAAAATTATATTTTAAACATAAAAAAAATATATTAAAATACTTGAAGTTTCCTGAAAATAAAAAAATCTCTCGCAACGGGAATAGGCGCTCTCTGTGGTCGGTAAAACATCCCCGTAGAATTCACTAAAATAATTATGTAGCTACGGCTACGACGCGCGCACCGTGTTCAGTTACTTCAATTAAATTCGAGGGCCTGGGAGAACAATAATTTTTGGCTGGCACGCTTATGAATTTCTCTAGTTCGCTTAAGACTGGATCTGACGATTAGAGCAGATTTTTGACGCGAAGTCAACATTATTCTCACGTAAATTTCTCTGTTCATGCTTTTTCGAACAATGTGGGTCGTTTAGACACTGCAGCTCGAGCGAGCCTATTACTTACTCTTAATTCTCGACGAAAGCGAGAGTAATTCCCACTCTACGACTAGTACCACCGCGCATCGATATTTCTATCGGCGGTGCGCAGCTGTTCCGACGCCTAGACAAGCAGTTAGAGCGCGCCTATTATTTATTAAAAATGATAAATTAAAATAAACCAATTAAGGAAAAATTGACTTCGTTATAGTTTATTGGAAACGCGGACTGCGTTTACGGGGAATTTGTAAAGTAAAGTCTAAAAGTTGCTTCGAGAAAAACTTGCTACCTCCCACATCATTAGTTTAAACATCCTACCATGTCTTAAAATACTCCCAATTATAAACATTCGTTCAAGTAAATATAAAATTCTAAATCAAAGATTCCTCGAACTAATCAACTCAAACTCTTTTGATAAGACCTTTTTTATGGATGCTTTAAAGAATGAAAATGGTTTATGGTGCTCAGTGGTCACACATCATACAGTAGTAACAAAACGCAGGCTTCCTACCATCTGAGAAATATTTGCAATATCTGAAGACCCGTATGGGTATCTACTGGGTATCTACTGACATCTTTTTACAACATCCTATATTGCCATCCATACACCAGACCTGCCATGAAATTTCTACCAAAAGCATATCCATAACACTGGCCGGGGACTATCCCCCAAGTAGAAATTCTCCGAAATTGATTAGCTGATACAGCATCTAAAGAAGCATCCCCAACCGACTGGCCCTCTATAAATTTTTAGCTTTACAAAGCTAATCTACAAACTTCATGCTGTCCAACATTTCACCAGAGATTGCGACATGCACACAATAAACAGAAACGACACAGTCATCAAAAGAAGACTGAGGATCGGCCGTTCACGTCTTACGCATGGTTACCTGATGGCTACGGAAAACCCTCCAATATGTGAACAGTGCGACAGGGTCCAAATCACAGTAAACCTCATTCTAATAGACTGTCTATTCTACCCTATTTACTATTTCATACCATGCGCGAAGAAAACATTGTATACAAAGGAACAATAAATAAATCTTGGCACCTAAATATAATTGAGTTTTAAAATGAGACTAAGCTATACAACCTATTTTAAATTCAATGCCTGTTGCGGTATTAGCCAAAGAAGTAGTTGTTTTTGAAAGGGAAACGGTCGTTGTATTTTATCTGATATTGGCTTTGAGCTAAATTCATTTATTTCATTTTAGATTTGTTCAAACTATTTCCTAACTTTATGTATACTTTTATAGACAACCTCTAACCTTTTGTCAACCTGTGTCAATAACCGTCGATTTTAAGACACGTTAATATCAATAAAAAATGTTTATTTAAAAATTGCTTTGTATATACGGATTTTAATGTAATTTCTGTCAACAAATATTTTTTATTCGATATTTGTTATGTAAGGACATAACTTCTAATATTAAACTAGAAATTTTTTTTCTGAAATTCATTTCTACAGTATAAAATTTTTGTACATGATGTTGTTTGGATCTTCCTGGTTATTGCCTTACAAAACAACATGTTTTGTAAAAAACTATCTGTTATTTTTTCTAAATGTCTATTTCAAAATAACTCTTTTATAAAGAAATGATGCATAAAGTCAAAAATTATTCTAGTTGAAAAGTAAACAAATATATTCGATCTTAACCTATCCAGAAGGAGCTCAAACTTGCACTCCCTTTGTGACAATGAAATTTTTTCCTCAATAAATCATTTTTTATTTTATCTCCAAAACGTTGTCAATGGTTATCAATTTTTCTCGGATGTAGTGATGTTAGAAATGTCCTGATAACCTCTATTTACAGAAAAAATAAACTATCATTGATCAGAAAAATTTACAATTTACTTATATTACAACAATAACATTACAAAACATATAGTAATATTTCATTATTTTGACAAAGCAACGTGATTAGCTATTCTTTTATTCTTCTTCTTCTTCTTCTTCTTCCTCATTTTCATAATAAACACTATAGTCTGAATTAATACTATTAGGATCAATTGTTGAAGTGTCTTCTTCCGTTGAATTTTCTTCTTCCTCGGCTGAATTTTCTTCTTCCTCTGTTTCTTCTTTTTCTTCTTCTTCTGTTATACTTTCATTTTGTTCAGTTACACTTTCTACCTCCCTTGTAGTCCTAATCAAATCAGTTTTATTTTCTGCAGGATAGTTGGATGGCAAATATTTATTTTCTCTATTATCATTCATTCCATTACGATATAATGGCGTATGAATTGTTTCCGCGTTTCCGTATTTTATACTATTTAATTTTTTTAATTTATTATCGTCCCTTCTTAGTTCCTCAACCATTTTATAAGACTTCGAGCAAATTTTATGTGTAAAACACTCTTGTTGACAGCATTTAAACCCATTAGGACATTGTCCATCATAATCACATTTAAATTTGTAAGTTAGATAGGCTGGATAAGGCTGATAACAATTATAAGGCCATTTTTCACAACGATTATTATCGAGCCTATTTTGTGGTGTTACTGAAGGGGCCAGTATGTTTTTCTTTAAATTTCTAGAAATTAGTTTTGTAGCGGCTTTAATACACACCCTGTGCTTGAAACAATTTTGATGACAACAGATGAACGATTTAGGGCAGTTGCTGTCATTTTCGCATTCGAACTGATAAGTTGATGAATAATTAAACTGTTGGGTACAGGAAAAACCAATGTCTTGACAGTAGAGGCCTTCCGTAAATATTTCTGAAATAAGAAGAATAGCATATTATTCAAACGTATTATAACAAGAAATGGATGATAATAAACATATAAACTTATAGACCTGAAAAACTAGAATTTTTTATAAACTTACTAGATAAAGTCGGAGAAGATAATATATGTAATAATAAATAATAATAGAGGTTGAAATGAGTAGAGTAGGTAAAGATTAGGATACTACAATAAAACCAGCCAAGTGCGAGTCGGACTCACTCATAAAGGGTTCCGCACCATCGTACAAGATTTAATAATATTGTCGTGAACTACCCTAAGCCGACTCTGATCACGTTTGCCGTTACAGCTCTCGCTTCGTCTGTTCTGACACCACAGGACAGAAACAAACGCACTCCTTCAAGAAGCTACCAAAGAAAGCGTTACGCGGCAACTAATACATGATAGACATGGGTAACGCACTAAAATTCTTTGCGTTGATACACTAATTCCGGCGCACTGTATTGCGCCAACTCATTGCGTTAACGCAATTGCGTTATTGCTTCACACCACTGCCTGCGCCGAATGAAGTCGATTCACCTCGGTTTATCGCATGATACCGGTGTTATTCAGCGCGGGCTGTCCTTTTATAAGGGTCAAACCATGTTCAAGGCAATAACGCAATTGGGAATTTAACTAAATTTTTTTTATTATATGTTTAAAAATAAACGAAAATATAACAGTGTAATGCACCCATTTTTTTATTTCATTGTGTTCGGATTTTACAAAAAATACAAAAATTCCAATTTTATAAAAAGGATATAACTTTTGTATAGGTACTAGTAGCCAATCAAAATGGGAAGAACTAAAAATTGACAGTGTACAAGATTAAAATTCGACTTACAATCCTACAAATGATGCGACATGTTGCAAAGAACATAATTACTTGATAGATTTTGGGTAATCTGCATTACGAGTTACATCAATTACGTAAATTAAAATTCTCAACTCGTCACGGAAAACGGAATCAGTGCCTGGCGCATGGCGCACCAACAACTCGCGATCCTTTCGACTCAGTATCGAAAATTGCGTTGCGCTGATATAGTAACAGCTGGTGTATCAACGCTCGTAACGTATACAACTGCGTTATCGCAATAACGCAACGCAGCGCTGCGTTACCCATGTCTAATACATGACGAGTCATAAATGACGAAATTCTAGAGTATTTAGACGGTTGAGAATGTTCCGGTGCAGAGCTAGATTCATATAAATAGCAAAAGTTTGTCGATAGACGTTAAGTTTCAATATAAGTGTCGCATAGAAAAGATAAATTGTAATAAATTAGAATTGTAAGTTGTAATAGTGACTAAGTTTTAAATAAATTAATAAGTACATTATAAATGAACTGTTTTTAATAAATAAAAGTGCCTGAGTTGCGTCGAGAACCAGATGATCATGATCTGGAGACGACAGGGAAGAAAGCAGAATTGGCAGAACGGTTTAAAGTAGCACTAAAAAATGTAAAAGTTTTGACTCGGAAACCTATCCATTTTCTGATGATGCATCTTCTATAAAGTAAGATCTCTTCCTTAAAAACTGAAATATCTTCTGATATGAATTCTATCAAAACTAATATTTCCTCTAACATGTCTGCTTTAAAAACCGAAATTTCATCCGATTTGGAAACTAAAATGTCTTTCATAGAAAATAAAATTTCTTCTGAAGTTTCTTCTATAAAAAATGATATTTCCTACTTAGAAACTAAAGTTTCTTCTGATATATCTTCCTTGGATGATAAAGTTTCTTTAGAAATATCAAAACTTTACTGTTTGGTTTCATATTTCCCCCTTAAAAGAAAAGGTGCCTGCTAAAATGTCTTCTATGGAAATTAAGGTCTCCTCTAATCTTCTATAAGAAGTGAATTTTTTCTGTTGGGGAAAAAATAATGTTTTCCGTCGGGAAGAAAATAAAACAGATGGAAAAGAAGATATAAGACTGGAACATTCAGAACAGGCCAAGAACGGTGAAATAAAGTGCCATTAGGTAGAGTCAAAGTTGAAATTGGAAGGAGCTGTAAACTCTGCTCGTGTTAAAGCCCCAACTTTCGACGGGAAGATGTCATAGACCAACTACCTTAAACAGTTTGAAACAGCTGCCAGAGCAAACGAATGATCTAAACGAGAGAAGGCTGTAAATTTGACCATCGCTATTCGAGAAGACGGTTTAGATGTACTTTAGACTATACCCGTGGAAAAGACAGATGATTTTGAACAACTGAAAAAGAGACTAAATATGCGATTTGGCCATGAACACTTACAGCAGTTACACCAGTTATAGTTAAAGAATCGCAAACAGAAACGAGTAAACACTTTTCAAGAATATGAAGTAGATATTGTCAGGTTGGTGCGATTTGCCTACCTATCATCTCCGGAAAAGATGATGGACTTTGTTAATGGACTCCGTGACCACGAGGTGCAGAAAACACTCCGCTTAGCCCATCACAAAACATTGGTCGATATATTCTCTGCTGCTTTAGAGTATGAGGCAGTTACGCAGGCTTCTGGAGGATACAGTAAAAGAAGAAAACATAAAAGATAAACTTGACCAACCAGTTAGCAGACAAAAAGATAAAGACGAAGACTATCAGGTGCTGGAATCACGGTGAACTGGGATATGTACGCAGTTCGTGCAAGCGCCCTAGGGTCCCAATCAGAGGCGGCTCGTGGCCTAAATTGAAAGTGTATTATTTATTATTTTTTACATTTATAGCTTTATCTATACGGCAAGAGAATTAAGTTTACCATTGTAACGGTTTTTAAAATGGCCGAAATTCTTAAGAATAATGACAACGACAATAAATGACAACGACAATAAATGAACAACTTAATATTTAAAATAACCTAAATAATATAATGGTTATGGTTAGGTTTTAAATTAGTGGTTTATAGTCGAAATTACTTTGTAGTAGAATTTTCAGGTAATTGCTACAATAAAGTTAATATTTATTTATTCAGGATGACTTTTAAGTCAACTAAATGAGTAATCGACTATTTGGTTGAAATTAAGTAGATAAGGATGGTATAATTTTTCTACAATATCGACCTAATATTAATTTAAAACAGAGTGAACAAAGCATCCAAATAGGTTACTATAGAGGTATAAAGTTACGAAAAATGTTCAACAAAATCAACTTAGTAGGATATTCTATTATAAAGACGATTTTTAGTTGCCAAACAGGGCATAATCGTGGTAGCCAACCTAATAATTGTAAAGCGAGGATAAGAAAGGGAACAATTTAAGTTGTTTGAAAAAGTACTAGATTCAATATTCCCGCACTTTTTTTTGCACATGAGTTGCTACATTTGAAAAACATCTCACGGAGCGGAGTAGAGCTAGTAGATTTTTTAGTCACTTGATCATCGAGCAAATCGAGCTTATGTAGAATAAAAGAACGGCTATGGATTTGCTTGTGTTTCCCGTATCCGGTTTTCATTAAAATAACAAACGTAAAACTTTTTTTAAATCAAATTTGATCTCTCATCTCGTGGTTTTTGTTGCAAGTTGCAAAGTAAAGTTAATTTTTAGCTGTGGTATTTTTCGCTTTCTGCTTTCACTAGAAAATAAACCATGTTCTCAATTCTGTCCAACATTTTTTATAAATATTTTTTTTTAATAACCAAACACTTGAAAAAGAATAAACTGCAACACAAGAGACAACGAACGATGTCTGTATATCTTAGAAAAGTTCATCTACTTTGTGAATTGTCACAGAAATTACATTTACTCCGAAAGCTCTAAAATTTAATTCGGAGTAAATAGAGCTTACTCGATTTACCAGCTCTGCATTAAAAGACCATGAAGAAGATCCGATCGAGAAGCCGCAGATGTATTAAAAGAACGGCTTCGAGTAAAAAGAGCAAAACGAGGCAGTTTTCAAACGCGGCAAGTAATGTAAAATTGTCGAATAACGGGAAAGGTCAATTGTCCCTGTCATGTTTTATGTAATTTTTTGAATATAAAATAATTTTTTTTAACCACTTTGCTTAGGATAGAGATTGGCACAGGTGCAATTTATTAAAGTATAATGTTGTTACATGCCTTTGAAGCATGTTTCATTTCCTTATCAGATGACGGTCGAATATTTGTAGTAGGCTCTCTTACAATAACCAGTACAATGTGACAACCGCCTATATTCAAACAGCAGTCTTCTGCGCTTCCTGAATTTGTATCCCTGGAGTGGATGTTATTCTGGAACATCCAATTGGTCCGAGTGAGCTAACTGATTCTTTAGCTATAAGCTAAGGGTTAAAATTGGAATAGATTTGGCATTTTATCACAAGTTGCATTCGTGTATGAAAGGAGCGAGCCAAGGTCAGAAAGTTAAAGAATCTTTAGTATTTACCGAAGAAGATTTACGTAAGTTTTCCAGACAATACGTTTTAATTTTTTCTGTTCGTGTTACTTGTTTTTAGGTAAAATTGTAAACAATTTTATTAATTTGACAATTCAAAATAAAATCTGACATAATCTAATCTCATTTAATGAAGCCCACTAGATGCACGCTTTTGGGTTTATTTGGGATAATTTATGATACTAAAAAATACTTTACACTTTATATTTTATGTTAGGATTCTTACAAAGATACATTAGCAAGTTATAATGAAAATTCTATGCTTGGTATGTTAAATCAATTAAACCTGACAGAAGCTAGAATAGGGGGTATGCCGAAAATTTCTAATATTTGTGAGGAATATTTGCATATTTCTTCTTCGGGGTCGGATCCATTTGGAGGAGATAATGAAGATGAAGACCCTAAGTAAAGTTACAAGACTCTTTCTGACAGTTCAACTTCTTCCCTAGATCCACAAGAAAAAATGAGAATGCGTAAATGTCTACGCATTCCAGATAAGTGGAAAATAAATAAAATTAGAAGCCTAAAAAATAGTGGAAGGGAAATAAAAGACGTGAGAAGAAAATTATAGCAACTTGTTTAAACTGTAGATTAAAATGTTTTGATAAAATTTGTAAAGAACAAAGATTTAATTTTCAAAACT